AAAAGCAAAACTGTTGCTTTTTGCAGGTGGTGTACTTAGAGAACCCTAACAAGTCAACTAGAAATTATTCAAAATAAATAACTTCAGCAAAAGTTATAAGACAGATAAAAAATTCATGTAAATCATCAGCATCCCTATATATAACAATAAAAAGCAGCAAGAAGAGTTAGAAAGGCCTGGAGTCAGGAGGACCTGAGTTCAAATTCGGCCTCAGACACTTGACACTGAACTAGCTGTGTGACTCTGGGCAAGTCACTTAACCCCACTGCCTAACCAAAAAGAAAAAAAGAAAAAAGAAGAATTAGAGAAATTCCATTCAAAATAATTACAAGAACCATAAAATACTTACGAATATATCTTCTGAAATTCACCTACAGACCTATCAATTTTATTAAATAGTCTTTAAACACTTTAAGTTCAACACTATACCAATCAACCAATCAATAAGTATTTATTAAGTACCTACTAAGCACTGCAGATACAAAAAGAGATAAAACACAGTCTGGGACCTCAAAGACCTTACAATCTAATGAAGGAGACAACATGCATACAAATCAATTTATATACAGATAAGAAAGAATTAATAGAGAGAAGGCACTACAAGAGGGATTTTAGTTGAGATTTAAAGGAAGCTAGGGAGGTCAGTAATCAGAGTGGAAAAGGTAGAGCACTCTAGGAATGAGGAACAGCCAGAGAAACGAAACTCTCAAAACAAAATTTTATAGAGCTTAAAAAAAAAAAAGATTTAAAAATCACTGGACTCTGAAAAGTAGTCTGGCAGAAACTAGTCACAGACCAATATTGCATACCAGATATCATGATAAACTCTTGTTCCCTCACCCATTTCTCCCTGGCCACATAATCTTCACCTTATGCACTTCTATTGTACAAAACTGATTCCTTTCCTTTCTTCCTCCTTTTCTCCTCATTATAGTACCATCCCGCCTACTTGTCTTCTCCAAAGACCTTTAAAACAAAACAAAACCACCCCCACTCTATTTTAACTTTTTTCTATATGACTTAATACTAAGACTCTGAGAAAACATCTGTTTCTTATCCCCCATTAAAAGACAAACAATTCATCCCCACATTTGTTCATTCGTTTAGTCATTTCCTACCCTTAGTGATTCCATGGACCACAGCATGCCAGGCCCTCCACTATCTCCAAAAGTCTGTCCAACCTTATGTTCATTGCTTCTATGACACTATCTATCCATCTCATCCTATGCCATCCCCTTCTCCTTTTGTCTTCAGTCTTTCCTAACATTAGGGACCTTTCCAATGAGTCCTGTCTTCTCATTGTGTGGCCAAAGTACTGATGCTTCAGCTTCAGTATCTGACCTTACAGTGAAAAGTCTGCATTAATTTCTTTAAGTGTTGACTGATTTGATCTCCTTGCTGTCCAAGGGACTCAAAAGTATTCTCCAGCACCACATTCCAAAAGCACCAATTTTACAGTGCTCAGCTTTCCATATAGTCCAACTCTCACAGCCATACATTGCTACTGGAAAAACCATAGGTTTGACTATATGGACTTCCATTAGCAAAGTAATCTCACTGCTTTTTAGTATGCTGTCCAGCTTTACTTTAGCTTTCTTTCTAAGGAGCAAGTATCATGGCAGTGGCCATACACAATGGTCTTTCAGCCCAAGAACATAAAATCTAACATTGCTTCCACTTCTTCTTCTATTTGCCAAAAAACGATGGGACCAGTTGTCATTATCTTAGTTTTTTGGGGTTTCTTTGACGTTAAACTTCAAGTCAGCATTTACACCCTCCTCTTTCACCCTCATCAAGAGGTTTCTTAATTCTTCTTCACTGTCTACCATTAGAGTGGTACTGTCTTCATATCAGAGATCATTGCTATTTCTCCTGGAAACTTTAATTCCGGCTTTTGGCATATAAGTGAAATAAATAAGGTGACAATACACAGACTTGTTATACAACTTTTCCAATCTTAAACCATTCAGTTGTTCCATGTTCAGTTCTAGCTGTTGCTTCTTGACTTCACATCAGGTTCCTCAGGAAACAAGTATAAGCTGGTACTCCCATCTCTTTGAAGACTTGACATATTTTGCTGTGTCATCCCCACATAATCCTTTAAATTATACACATACATACCATGATATATTTCTCTTGGTGCCTGCATTTCCATTTCTAAATATCTGCAAAGTCTTTTTATCAAGAATGCCTGGACTCAAGTGAAACAAGAAGAGGTAAACAGGAAAGAGAAATCATAAGAGATTTATTAAGGTTGAACTGTTTACATTCCTGCATGGAAAGATAATATTTGTAACCCATGAGACCTTTGTCAGTATTAGGATAGTTGGAGAGGAAAAAAATTATATGTGTAGACAGACTGATAGATAGAGGGCACAGGGTGAGTTGAAGATGAAGGGGTGATATCTGGAAAATAAAATTAAGGAGTGAGAGAGGATTATACTGGGAGAAGGAGAAAGGGAGAGGTAGAGTGGGGTAAATTATCTTACATAAAACAGACAAGAAAAGGCTTTTACAGTGGAGGGGAAATGGAGGAAGGTGAGAGGGAATGAGTGAATCTTAGTCTCACCCGATTTGGCTTAAGGAGGGAATGACATACACACTCAAGTGGGTATGAAAATCTATCTTACCCTACAGGAAAATGGGGGGGAAGGTGACAACAGAGCAGGGTGATAGAGGGGAGGGTACATTGGGGGAGGGGGTAATCAGAAGCAAACACTTCTGAGGAGCGACAAAGTCAAAACAGAGAATAGAAAAAATGGGAGTGGGATAGGATGGAGATATACTTAGTTTTTCACAACATGACTACTATGGAAGTGTTTTGCATGACTACATATGTATAACTTGTAAAAAAAAAAAAGAATGCTTGGAAATCCTCTATTCCTTAAAAATCCATTTCCCTTCCTGTAGTATTATACTTAGCTTTTCCAAATAAGGATCTCTTCAGTTGTAAACGTTATACCTCCTGCCTTTTGGCAAGAGCCATTCCCCAAATGGTCAAAGGATACAGATAAACAGTTTTGCAAGGAAGAAATCCAAGTTATCAACAGACATAGGAAACAATACTCCAAATCACTAGAGAAATGAAAACTAAAGCAATTCTAAGAGTTCCACCTCATCCCTTCAGATCAGAAATGCTGACAAAAAAGGAAAAGACAAATGTTGTAGAGAAACACTGTTGGTGTAGCTATAGTGAGGCCATCAGGATAACAATTTAAAATAATGTCCCCAAAGTTACTAAATTGTATATACCCTTTCAACCAGCACTAGGCTTATACTCCAAACAGAACAAAGAAAGAAGAAAAAGACCTGTACTTATATTTAGAATAGCTCTTTTTGTAGTGCCAAAGAAGTAGAAAATGGGAGAGCCAATACTCATTAATTGGCAAATGGCTCACAAAATTCTATTTTATGAATATAACACTATTGCACCCTAAGAAATGGAGGGGTTAAGGGGCAGCTAGGTGGCGCAGTGGATAGAGCACTGGCCCTGGATTCAGGAGGACCTGAGTTCAAATTCAGCCTCAGACACGTAACACTTACTAGCTATGTGACCCTGGGCATGTCCCTTAACCCCACTGCCTACCCAAAAACAAAAACAAAAAAATGGAGGGGTTGGTTTCAAAGAAACCTGGGAAAATTGTATAAATTGATGCTAAGTGAGCAGAATAAGAATAATTTAAATAATAACAACTGTAAAAACAAACAATGTTGAAAGACTTAAGAAGACCAACCATAATGAGACATGCTACTCATCTCATGACAGAAGAGACGGACTCAGGGTACATACTGAAACACATATTTTTGAACATGGCCAATGGAATCATTTGTTTTGCTTGAGGGTTTTTTTTGTTTGGTTGGTTGGTTTTTTTGGTAAGGAAGGGAGGAAGGGAGAGGGGGAGAAGGAGAAGGAGAGAGAGAGAGAGAGAGAAAGAGAGAAAAGAATCATTGGACTTCTTAATAATCACGATCAAGGGGGCAGCTAAGTGGTGTAGTGGATAGAGCCCAATGCTCTATCCACTGTACTACCTCCCAATTAAGATAAAGCGTCATTAAAACTATAAGCCAGAGAAAAAATATGAAATAGACTAATAATTTAACAGTAATTCAGTTCAGTTAATTGAGCGCTCCTGGAGTGCAAAGAATTATGCTAGGCCTTGGAGGAGATACTAAGACAGGAATATCAACCCTTTTTTCCTCAGGCTTCAGGTAACACTAGTTTTGCACCTCTCTAACACACTCATGTATCATACTTATTCGTACACTCTCACAGAACGATTTGCCATCACTGAATAGTCCACAAGGGCCCCAGACAATTCTCAAAGCAGAATTTCAGAAAATATTTTTAAGAGACTCTTCATAAAAAGAGTGTGCCCCACCCCCCAGCCTCACCAATAGTAATTATTCTGAAGAGAACAATACTTAACTGGATGTATAAATTCTGATATATTTGTTCAGGAAAAAAATTGATAATGAATTATATTATTCAATTTCCATTGAACATGACTTTTTAGGAGTACGTTTACGGTGTCAACGATATACACAAGTGCCATATTTATTGGCAGCCATTCTTAAGATCTTTTCATGATTAAACTTTCTTATACAATGATGTCTGCATAGTTCCTTTACCCCATAACATTCTACTTAATATCATATTCACTGTATTAGAATGAATTTCCATGCCTCTCCTCACTTTCTCCTGCTCCCACTGTCAGCTGTCTTTTGTGTTTTTATGTGTTGAATTCCCCCATTAGAATGTAAGCTCCTTGAGGGCAGAAACTATCTTTCTACTTCTATTTGTATTCCTACCTAGCTTAGAGCTTAGCACAGTGCCTAGCACATAATAAGTGCCTAATAAATGCTAGTTGATTGACTTATTTTTTTAAATCTTTGTATTTCAAATACCTAGAACAGTGCCTGGAACAAAACAAGATAATTAAATTAAGAGTTAAGTTTGAATCCTCAAAGCCTGGTGCAATGAGAGGCAAACCAGCACTCACCTGAGATCCAGATGTAGAAAGTGAAGCTGCCTCATCCTTGTCTCTGGTATGCCTTCCTTCAGGAAGGGTAGGAAGCTGGGAAATTGGCAAACCTAAGGCAGGAGACAAGAGGTGTTAAAACACTGGATTTGTTAAATGCTATCTCCTTATTAGAGCTACTCTCAACCACACAAAACTATAGCACCTTGTAGCAGGGCATTTTGAGAAACAATTAGGAAAACAGATCTGATGCCTGTTGCCCCATCCACAACCCTGCAGACTTGGTTCTTACCTCTCCCCTAAAAAATAAATTCCCTTTATACTACAATGAATAGTGATTGTCCCTCTCTACCACTACATCTTTTCCCTGGCCTTGTTGGTATAACTGAAGCAAAATAAGTTTGCCACACTCAAGCCAGACCAGTCTACTGAAAAAACATTATAAAAATCCCCAAACTAAAGTGGCTACCTTATTATAATACTGCTCCCTAAGCCCGGAAGGATACTGAGGGCAACTCCTCCCCTGCTTATTTCCTAGTTATCTGTTGAAATCACTTAAGTTCATTTTCAAGTTATTGTCCATGGGCTCACTGTCATGGGGCCACTGTCCAAACCGCCCAGACTCTCCCACCAGAAAAGCTCTTTCAGAATGAAGCAATGCTCCTCACCAAACTCCAGTGAGTTTTCAGACTCCTCTTTGATGCTGTGGTTTAGCTGTTCCTCCTGTGCTGAGCGTGAATTCTGTGTGCCTTCTTCCTGAAGCATTACCTTAGCATTAGGCTCCACTGGGACACCTGATGATTCCATTTCCTCTGAATGAGCTTCTTGTCGCAGTACTTGGACTTTGATCTATGAATCACCCAAGCCCAACCCCCAATATTAGGTGTGAGATGAGGTGACACTGGGGTTGGGGGGGGAGGAAGAGACATCTGAAATTAGATAACAAGAGACTCTTTTCAAAGTACCTTGGATCTATCTGAAAATGTGTTCAAAATCGCTATTAGAAAAATTAAAGGGGCAGCTAGGTGGCACAGTGGATAAAGCACTGGCCCTGGATTCAGGAGGACCTGAGTTCAAATCTGGCCTCAGACACATAACACTTACTAGCTGTGTGACCCTGGGCAAGTCACTTAACCCCACTGCCTAGCCAAAAAAAAAAAAAAGAAGAAAAATTAAAATTCCATGGTGTCATCTTACAAAATTGGCAGACAGTAAAAAAAGGTAAAAATTCAATTTTAGTAGGGTTGTGATAAAACAAAGAAATAAAATTCAAGGTATTAAACTTAAGTTCTAATCATATGGATAGGTGGGAAACTAACGTACAGTATTTAGACTTCCAAAAAACTTAAGGTTTCTCAGTAAAGAATGTGAAAAAAATCAAGTCACCATGGAAATTGGTATTCATTATTTTGCCATAGAAGGGAATGCCTATGTAACTACTGATAGAACTAATCTGGAATTAAGAAAAAAAAACTGTAAGTTGTTCAGACCCTTTGATCCAAATGATTCCACTAGTCAGTTTACTCCTTATCTTTACAAAAATATTCATAGACTCATTATTTGTAATAGCAAAATCAGAAACAAACTGTGTGTCTAACAAGTAGGTGATGGGTAAACAAATTGTGATATATAACCATTTCTGATTGGCTAGCTATTGTGGTCCTGTCTTGGGCTAAAAGGATGATATGATTGTGGTTGAGTACAAGGACACACCTGTTCAAATATGTGAATTGGATCTGAGGGCAGCGGCTAGCTGGGGCCTGAGGTGTGGTTAAAATCAGATTATGCGGTTAAATCAGGGCATGCCTGATGTTCGGTGGGGCCCATAAGGAAATCAGAACGTTGGGGCTGAGGGCAGCTTTATTAGGATTCCATCAACATGACTAAAAAAATGACTGAATAACAACAAAATGGGGAAAGAAGTAAACATAACCAGCAAAACAATTTATAGGATGAGCACAAGACTCCAACCCCAGTCTTTCTCTCAAGTCCTAAGAATGTATCTCCAATTGCTTATTAGACATTTCAAATTGAATGTTCTATAGGCATCTCAAACTCAATATTTCCGAGACAGAATACATTTTCCTTGCCCCTCCCCCCAATTCTGAACTTCTCTAATACCTTGAAAGGTACCACCACCCTTCTCACTTAACCTAACCTCACAACTTCAGTGTCATCCTTGACTCCTCACTAGTCCCATGTATCCAATCAGCTGTCAAATGTTTTCATTTCTACCTCTAAAATATCTGTCCTATATAGCTCATTCTTTCCACTCACACAGCCACCTCCCTTTTTCAGGTCCTCATCACCTTTCACCTGGACTATTTTAATATCCCCTAACAGGTCTTCTAGCCTCAAGACTCTACCAACTCTAAATCATTCTCTACATACCTGGCAAAGGATTCTTCCTAAAATGGTGGTCTGATTATGTCATGCCCCACTCAATAAATGCCAAATATTCTTTATTACCTTTAGGATCAAATACTTAAAACTTGTCAATATCTGGATCCTTCCTATAGTGTAGCCCTCCACATGCTCTACTAACTCCCATCTCCATGTCTTTGTAGAGCTGTCACTCATGACTGAAATGTTCTCCCTGCTTTATCCTCCATCTCTTAGAATGCTTGGTTTCCTTCAAGACTCAGCCTGATAAAAGCTTACTAAATGATTATTGATTGATTGATTGGTACTAAAATTAAAATGAAAGAACAGTTCCTTCCTATCTTTTAAGAAACTAAACTACTAGAAAGTAAACTATTAAAGTGTATGACTTCATGTGTAAAAAAACTATGTAAAAAGAATTCTTTACTTAGCATTAGAATGCATTTGGATTAAACTATTACAAAATTTGCTCAACTTTAGTAGTAACATTATTTCCACAACTATATCTACTTCAAAAAAGAAACTGTTAGTTTTTTTGTAATAAAGATACTTGCAGGAGTCAAACTGCTGTAATACTTTTATACATAAATAATACTATAATGTAATTGTTTCTAGATTCTGAACCTAGAATAAGAAAAACACAGTAGAGTCGAATTCTACCACCAACCGTTATCCAAAAAAAGCAATGAAAGTTTTATAACTGTTCCCATGACCATTCTGGAGTTTTTGCAACATGGAAACATGAACAAACGTTTTCTCAGTTCTAAGTGGCAGAACAAAAACCCTAATTTTTTTGTAACTTTAAATGTTTGGTAAATACATTTGCAATGCTTAAAAAATTAACCCAAAAAAGGTACCTTATATCCAAAGTGGACTAAGATCCTTCCTTCCCACTCCCTTCAAAAAGATCATCACAAAGAAAAGGATTATTTCCTTTATTATCCCAGGACAGATAATAGTTTTTATAGATAGTCCCAGAGTGCTTCAGACCAATATTATGGCAATGATTCATCAAAAGTCAGTTACTGGTCTCCATTGTTAGGGCCAAGGAAAATTTATTTAGTCTATTTAATACATAAACTATAAAGAACTCAAAGAAAATACTGGAGGATCTGTAGGAACCAATGTAAAACGAAGTAAAAACCATTTATAGGATGACCACAAGAATCCAAACCTAGTCTTTCTCTTAAGGGCTTTTTTAAATTTAGTTTATTTAAAAGCTCACTTTAGAAAGAAGAGTTCTTTCTTGACGTCCTGCCCTACCACAAATCTATCACAATACTTCAACCCTCTCACTTACCAGATTAGAATTTCCTCTACTTACCCAATGCCACAATCTCCCAGGGTCTTTTTGTAAGCCCTCTATCAATGCTACTGCTTCTTCTCCACTCTCTGGACACTGCTTCCGCACCCAGGTTTGGATCTCCCCAGGTAAAATGGTTAGGAACTGTTCCAGCATCAGCATTTCCAAGATCTGCTCCTTTGAATGAATCTCTGGCCTAAGCCACCCAAAGCAGAGTTTCCTGAGTTGTCTCATAGTCTCATGGGGCCCAGACATCAACTGGTAGTGAAACTGCCTGAAGTGTTGTCGAGCTGTCTCAGGGTTGTACCCTCTCAGGGCAAAATCATGTCCAGAAAAAGAATCCTCCTCTAGCTTCATCAATGGAGATGTAGGGATTGAGGACCCCAAGGCTGCAGGCTTCATATGACTTAAAAGGCTACTCCACTTTTGGAAATGGAAGAGAAAGTCTAAGATTCTGAGTTCAAACTTTTCTTCCTCTGAACAATTTTAGAGCCTCTCAAAAGGAAGTCTGAAAGAAATGAGATTCAAAAAACTGTCAAGAATGATAAATAAGAAAGAAAAGACAACCCTCCTGCTCCTCGGCATGGAATATGGTAATCCATAAATTTCTGAGAGGACTCAAGTTTCTTTTTTGAGAGGACAAATTAAACGAAACACCAACAAGAGATTATAAGCTCCCATCAAAAGAGCTCCAGATTTCGGCAAAAGTCTGAAGTTTAAAAATGGAAAATGACAAGAATGAACATAAAACAGATGAAATTAACCAGTTATAGAAGTAATCCACCCTAATAGATTCATGAATGAGTACTGAATATAATTGTTGTTAAAATCTTATCAAGTAACTAAGGGTAGATACCAAAACTTTCCTAGAAAGATATCAAGTTAAAATCCAGTCATTTACATCTGAAGAACTTTAAGGTCTACAAAATGTTTGGTTCATTACATTTCCCACAAAGCATTTTTTTCTAACTCCGTAAATAATGCAAGTATTATTGTTTTTATTTTACAGACGAAGAAACTGAGGTTCTAAGCCCTTAAGTGATTTGCTCTCCATGATAAAAGCTAATATTAAGTTTGAGGAAGGATTCTGGGCTCCAGGCTCCAGGTTTATCATCCTTCATCCAAAATTTTAATTTAAAGAAGGTCATAATGTACTCAACTGTAGGAAAGGAAGCTAGGCGATACAGTAGATAGAGCATTAGACTTGGAGTCATTAAGGCCTGAGTTCAAATTCAGCCTCACACACTTATAAAATGTGTGAGACTTCTGTTTGCCTCCGTTTCCTCAACTACATACTATAGCATCTACCTCCCAGGGTTGTTATGAGCGCAAATAAAATATTTGTAAAGCACTTAAGCACAGTGCATGGTATGCAGGAGTTGCTATATAAATGCTTATTCCCTTCCTCCTGTACAGTAACATGCCTCATGTACTGCTATCATAAAGGAAAGAAGGCAGTTTATGTGAGACTTAATGAAATGTAGAACCTAACGTAAGTAGCAACCTCTTGACTGTCCAAGGGGAGAGTGTGCTATGATTCTAGGTAACAGATACACGTTTGTTGCTTGAGTGATGAAAGGCAATTCATCACATAATAATAAAGATAACCCCACAAAATATCATATTGCTTTTCCTTTAATTTAACAGGCATTCTGCTGACTCTAATTTTGTCTTTTGAACATACTTACCCATTATGTGGACCTACCCTATACAAATGACTGGCACTGGTTTCAGTCTTAATTCTTCAAACAGTTAACAATATGCCTATTTTGAACAAGGCAGCACTGAAGTAACTACTAGAGATTCAAAGATGAAAAAAAAATCACCTCCATCCTTCAAGCCTGCAGCCAGCCTACCATTATAAGCTAATGGTGTTCCTGGGTATATTTTTCACTTTAAATCAATGCATTAAAATGCTTTGGCTAAAACAATTTCCTTCAAAGCAAAATAAATAAAAAACTCACATTATAACCACCTAATAATACTGGACCTTGAGGTAAGGATTTGAACATTCTAATCACCTCCCTCCCTCCATGGATCTCTCTCAAGCCACTGAAACTGCCTCATTCCTTAATATTAGTTAGCATATTCTTACCCTGTTACACTCTTCCCATCTCAGTGATCCTGAACCCCTGGCTGTCACTATACAAATCCCAGTCCCCAAAATCAAGTGCCCATACCCTTACTCCTCTCTCCTTCAACTACAGCCTTCAAATGTCCCATTCCAAATCTACCTGCCCCTTCCACTATGCATTCTGAAATGCCTTCTTCATAGCTAACAAACTTGCTTTTATCATAAACCTTTCTGACTTTCAAGTCATGTGACCAACAGGGAAGACTAGACATCTCTAATTCTCCAAGACTTCTCAAACCTCTCCAAAACAGAAATTATGCCTCTAGGATCAACTCTTCTGCTTGCCTTTTTAAGGTCTTGATATCTGGCCTCTGCCTATCTTTCTGGGATCTTCATCTGTTATTCCATTTTCTATATACTGCAAACCAGGAAAGCTTAACCTTTTACGGTTCCTCAAACATATTACTCCCCTCTTCATCTTCAACTCCATCCTTCCTTTCTTCAAGACTCAGCAAAAAGCAGCAACTTCTAAATGAAGTCTTCCCCGATCCTTGAAATTGCTAGTGCTCTCTCTCTCTATCTAGTATGTATTTCTTATGTACTTAAATTATACACACATTGTCTTATCCTCATAGAATGTAAGCTTCATGAGAACAGGATTGTTTCACTTGTCTTTCTTTATCAGAACATAGCACAATGACTAGCACATATAAGCACTTAATAATAAATGCTTAATTGATTAACCAGATCTAAATCTTGATCTAGAGCTTGAAGGGACTTTGAGACTATTTTCCCATTCCCATTTTACAGATGAGTAAACTAAGGAAACATTATGTAACTTGCCTATATTCCAAAAGATAGTAAGCATCTGAGTTGGGATATGAATCCAAGTTCTCTGAGGCCAGTCAGAGTTCTTTCACTGTCCAACACTGAACTTGCTCAAGGATATATAGCAGTGAATGAAACACAGCCTTAGTCTCTCTCCTGAATTTCAATACCACATCACTAAGTGACTTGTGGACGTTTCAAACTAAATATACCCCAAACAGAAATTCATTATCTTTCCCTCAAATTCTCCCCCAGAGAATCTGCCTATTACTGCTCTAACCTGCCTACTACTGTCAAGAGCACTGCAATCCTCCCAATCATTCAGGTTTGCAACTTCAGTATTTTCCTCAACTCCTTAATCTCATGAATTCCACTATTCAAGCCAATGCAGTGGAACCCAACCCAAATCTTGTCATTTCTACCTCCCCAATTTCAGTCCACTATGTTCCTTTCTTTCTACTAACACAGCTACTACAATAATTGAGGCCCTCATCAACTCTCATTTGGACTAATGCAATAGTCTTGGTCTCCCCACCTCAAGTCTCTCCCCATTCCAATGTATCCTCCCCATAGCTGCCAAAGGGATTTTTCAAAAACTGAGCCCTAATCTTCTACCCTCCCCCAACCTCTTACGCAACTTCCAGTGGCGTCCTGTCACCTCAAGGATCAAATATAAATAAGCTTTAAAATGCACTAAGATTTTTGGGGCACTATGTAATTGCCTCTGGCCATTTCACTACCTATCCCTTTATTACCCTCCAATCTTCTTACACTTTACTCCTCTTCACGCACTCTACAAACCAAACTCACTTCCCCGAATCCCTGGCTCCCTTTAAGATTCGGCTCAAATTCCATTATCATGCAGGGCAACCTCCCCATCCATGGTTACCTCCCATCGACTATATCTTGTACGTACACGTCGCCTCCCCCATTAAAAGGTGAGCTTCTCTGGGGCAGAGTATGTGGTTTAGCCCTTCTTTGTATGCACAACACTCAGCTCAGAATCAATGCTTAATAAATGCTTGTTGACCGAGTAGCAGAACTCAGACCACAATTCAGGTTGAGTGTTTTATCCACCACCCCAACCAAACTCTCCTGGAGCTAGTTTCCGCAAGGGGTTACCAGGCTTTAAATCAAACCCGTGAGCAAGGGTAAAATCAGCGGCGCTAAGCCTTTCAGCTTTACTCCCATCACTCCAGACGCAAAATCATCCCCTCCTCCACCAACCACAAACCCCGGAGCCCCACACCCAGGGATAGAAAGAGGCTGGGTTCCCTAGCGGCTAGCTCTCTCCGCACCTTCCTCACCTTCACCCCCAATCCCCACCTGCCCATCCAGCCACACAAGCCCAGCGGGGGGTGGGGAGGGCAGGAGGATGGGTGAATCACAGCTCAGTTGGGTTCCCTTAGCCCCTGAAGCGCGAGAAGATGAAAATGCACAAAAGCTCAAGCCCCGAGTGTGCGGAGTGATTGGGACTGGTGATCCTGGGATCCCACCTGAATTATCTGGCTTCATTCAGCTCCAACTCAAAACCAAGGCTCTTCAAGCGCCCACAACGGTCCAAATGCTCACTTCCGGGCAAGGAGTTCAGACTGCGCGCGCATCCGGAGCCTAGCGTCAGGAGCCCCGAAGCTTGGAGTCATCCTGAGTGGGGCGGGGGAAGGGGGGCGTGGTGGAGCGAGTACCACCCCGAGGGGGTGGGGTCATCTTGAAGGATTAGCAAGTGATGTAATCGATCTCAGTCCCGCCCTAGACCTGGGTCTAGGCATTGCCTACAGGGGCTGGCTACATCATTCTCACGCAAGTGGCTTTTGAGGTCCCTTCCAGCTCTGGGGTTCTGAACCCCACCTTTAGCCAAATAAGAGCGCTCAGAAAACTGTAATATAAAATGAGAAGTTAAAAATACATTACAGATTGGAGAATGGCTATGGTATATGCATGAGAAGGAATTCTATCCTGCTCTAAGAAAGGATGAAGGGGCAGGTTTCAGAGAAACTTGGGAAGACTTGCATGAACTGACCCAGTGTGAAGCAAGAAGAACCAAAAGAACAACAATATTATATAAAGACAAACAACTTCCAAAGACTTAGGAACTCCTATCAGCATTATGACCAACCTCAATCCCAAGGGACTCCTGATGAAGCATTCCACCATCCCCACCAATAGAGCATTAAGTGCAGATTGAGACTTAACTATTGTTAACAGGATTTTACAGAGCAAGACTCTAACCTGAAAATGACAAAACAGCAGGTCAGAGACAAAGTGCCAGTAATCAGGTAGCCATTTAACTAATTAGTTTTATTATAAAGAATAGATTTGTACCTTGGGAATTCTCCTGATCAGAATTCCACCTTGCTGAAGGGAAGATAGAGATTATATAAGCAGTGGGATGGGAGGGGGGAAGATAGATCACAAACAATCATTTCCAGGGCTTTGAGTGGTGTCCTATGACCAGCCCACAAATGGAAGACAACACAACAATTCTGAATGACCTTTGGGGGTTGTTACTTGGTGGGTCACAGGACCAGAGTTCTATGATGGGGACCATACCCAGCCCTTTTCCAAGATGGTGGTGGCTGCTCTTTCCTGGAGGAGGATATGAAAGA